GCAGCCTACATCGACCTCAAGAATGCTTTTGATTCGGTGCATCATGCATTGCTATGGGACATCCTGTGATTTATCATTGGATTAATAGCAAGCCTATATACTGTTACTGAAAGTGTTGTAAGGTGTGGTGGGGGCCTGTCGAGCTTTTTCCCTGTTGACTCAGAAGGGAGGGAAGGCTGTGTCCTAACATTAACACTTTTCAACACTTACATGGATTGGATAATCGGCAGAGCTACTACTACAAAGTTCCTGTGAAGCAACATTGGCAATATCCAACTCAGCTTTACTTTTCATCAAATGTAATAGAACCACTTAGGGAGTTCTCAGGCATAAGAGAATATTTGGCAATTTAAGAAAACAATTTGTAATTGACAGGAATTTATCATATGGAAACACCTTTTTAGAATACAAGTCCTATGTTTTTTTGATGATAAAAAATATCATACACATTCTAATGGTTATAAAAATTGTTCTTATTTTTTTTCATATTTCTATACTTTCCAATAATAATTTTCTATACAGCTAACAAACTGAAAAGATAGCACAGAATTTGATCACTAAGCCCCTCCTAATGAATAATTGGAGAGATATTGGGGAGGCATGTGCAGAGGTTTCAGTATATTGATAACCATCCCTTTTAAGCTCCTCAAAAATATGGACAATGTCTCATTTAACCCAAAAATGCTGGGTAAAAAATTCCACATGGACATTATCGCAGGTTTATTCGCATGCATCAACAGTTTCCTCTTTGAGCCCGGCTCATTTGGTATTTTGCAGGCAACAGTAGGCACCTAAAAGCTTTTTCAAAACAAAGTTTTTGAAGGTTTACCTACACCTTAGGTGCTATTACCTAAAAGTTTTACCATAGAAATGCTGCCGCTACTATCGGAGAAAAATAAGCTCAGTCTGATGAGCTGACGGAGTGGGAATGGTTGTATTTGATGCCACCCACTACTTTGTGCACAACAGTCATGGCATGTACGTGCATGCCATCTTAAAATTTCAATTGATCTTTTGGAAGAGGGGGAAGTAAAAAAAATTATAATGATAATAATAAAGCAAGGAAAAAAACAAGTTTCAATAAAACTTTTAATTGACAATGTTGTTAACAAAATACAATGATTTTCAAATATTGCCTCAGTAATGATTTAACATTCTTAATGAATTTCCATAGATTCCATCACAACCATACAGTTTTGTTTTTTTTAATGAACATTAAAATTAATAATGAATACAAGGGGAGGAAATGTTACATAAATTCACCTTTTGATTAATATTTTATTAACTCATTGGGTATTAAAAAATAAACTCCCTACTTATTTCAATGATATGTCTTCCAGCATTCAAAAACTAAAGGAAGTCATACTTAGGCTATCTTCAGATTTTGAACATCAGTAGCTAAATGTATTATAATTCACTCTTTCGAAGGTAGCTGTGAGTTGGTGTCATTACTTAACATCTGCTCCTATGTTACCAATACCTCTTCCTCCATTAACCAAATGTACCATAAAAATTAACAACTAAATTACCGGGTGCTAAGGATATATCAAAGCATGAAACATGTACAGCTTAAAATGAACATATACATATTTTAGGAATATCTAAAGATTAAAAGAAATAAGAAACCAAGGACAAAGAGACTTAAGCCAGAAAACACTGGCAAGTACAACCATACATGTAACATACCTTCATCCTTATTACAGTGAACTAAATATAAACCTCTTGTCTAATGCTGCTGCCACATAATGTTGTAGAACTGGCAGTAGCAACTGCTATACTTTCTAAGTCTATTCAACTAACACATGATAATGAAAGAGATGGCCTCTTCTCTTTGAACAAACCACAATTTTCATCCATTTTTTTCTATAGCAATGAGGGCCAAAACTTAAACCCACTAAATGACTACTCACACAAGACCTTATTTTTATTATCACCAATTACAAAATATCACATTCATGAAATTAAAATAAGACTTACAAAATATTTAACAAAAATATATAACCTCTTTTTTCCTTCTGCATATATTAAAATTTCCAATAAATTCTATGAAAGGTATGATAATTACTAAATATGCCAATAAAATGTAATATAATCCGACATTCCCCTGTCTCATTTGCCATGTATTTGTCTGTTTGTTTATTTCTTTTCTGTTCCCTTTTGTTTCTGTGTGTGTGTTTATGTTGAAACATTTCTTTCTGACTGTCTCTGCACATGTATGTAAATCAGTTACATATAACAGAATTACCCTCAAGACTAACAAAATTCTAAGTACCTGAAATACTTCTGGCCAGGCATTCTACATGCTTTAGTTACCTGAAATGAATTTGATTGGCCTGAAATTAACTTTTCATAACAGCAAGTAAGGATAGCTGAGGATTTGGGAGAGAGAGAGAGAGAGAGAGAGAGAGAGAGAGAGAGAGAGAGAGAGAGAGAGAGAGAGAGAGAGAGAGAGAGAGAGAGAGAGAGAGAGAGAGAGAGAGAGAGAGAGAGAGAGAGAGAGAGAGAAACGGAGAGAGAGAGGGAAAAAGAGAGAAAGAGAAAGAGAGTGTTTCTACATTTGGTAGCCTAATGTAAAAACCGAG